CGCGGCATGGGAACGGGCGCGCCGCGGCATGGGGAACGGGCACGGCGTGCGGGGAACGGGCGACGTTCTCGTGATCGAGGCACGACGTGGGGGCTTGCGTGCTGGGCATCACGCATTTGGCTAACCTCTTCGTGCCTCACCCCATGCCTTGGGCGGCCACGGCGTAGGGGGGAGCCAGACCCCATTGTCCCCCCTATATATACCTTATGGACAAAAAGCAAAGTGACAGGAACAAACATTGATTTTTTGAGGATGTCTTGTTGTACCGATCAAAATTGAGTTTTTGGACGTAAGTTATACAGCTCAAAACAATAATACTGATCATTTTAATGCAGTTATCCTAATTATTAATATTTATAGAAAAAGTTCCTTAGTTATGTAAACCGTTTAGAAAGATTTTAAAAAATTGTGTTAGAGACGCATGTGTCATGCACATGAGGGTAAAACAGTCATTTTACACCTGATGTCGTTTTCGTCTCATTATTTCCTCCTTTCTTAGACCAAACACCACAAACATCTGCATCTCCTCATGGACCATTTATGCATTTACTCGAGCAAAAAAAACATTACAAAACGACACCTATGTTGGTGGTTTTGTTGTTATCATCATCATCGTCATCGTCGTTGTCGTTATCACAATTCCACTACTGTAACCTTTTCCATCCCAATGTTATTCTAAAGACTCATTTCCATTAAAGTATCAATCACCTTTCTTTCTTTTTTCACACAGAACCACATTGATGCATGTGCACTGCTGCGACGAAACTCAAGACTCCAATACAGATAACGAAATGACAAATCTAAGCCTTCTTCTAGTTTTCCCCGATAACTATATCTAACAAAACTAGAATAAAAAACATATCGGTCTATAATCAAATTCCATGTCTAGCTTTAACTCAATAATCATATTATTTTTTTACGGATTCTCGTTGATGTTGACAACACAAGAACGCAAACGTGATGAAATAATAGATTTTTTTTATTAACCTGGATATCCAACCCGCTATGCGAGCCGACTAATCCCAGGGCAACCACCTGCTTTACACATAACCTGGAGTCACCGTATTTGAACCTCCGTGGCCACAAGAGGATTTTTATTCCTCTTTGTATTTGAACACGGGACCTCCTGGTAATTTTGACCTTTGGAGTCAAGCTTAAACCAATCAGACACCACTCTTGTGGTTAATGAAATAATAGATTTTGAGCAAAAAATCGTAATAACTAAACTTTGCAAATTGATAATAAGTCGGAGGACGAAATTTGCAATTTATTCGCATACATGTACATATAACACACAAGGAAAACAAGCAAAACACGACATATATTTTTTTGTAATTGGGTTGTCACAGTCGTAGGTTTGGCCTTGTTTTTATAACGTATATCATGGTTACGTGTTTGTATAAACTTCAAAACTTAAACGAATATTGTTATATGCTAATTAATTTTATCCTAAAATTCCTTCTAATCAACATCTAATAGAAAGAATAATGTTGACTTTTATAAATATATAAATTCTATGAATTAAAACGATATATAAGATCATATCAGATCAGATCAGAGATATAATATCAGGTATATTAAACACGAGTTTAATTATTTTTTTTAATGTCGTATTTTTTAATCTTAAAATAAAAGTTATAAATATGAAAAAAAAAATTTGACATCTTGTTTTAGTTTAATGGGTATTCGGGTAAGCTATGGACGAACCCAGAGGGTTGGTTGGGTGTGGCATGTGCCACTCTATTGTTTGTCCATGGTAAGGTTAAAAAATTAGGTTGTTGAAAAATGCAATCGTTTTGTTTTAGAAGGTGCAATCGTTTTATACGGTGCCACCGTATCCAAAAATTCTTTGGGTCCGTCCCTGGTAAGCGCTTATCAAGTAACATTATCTTACCGCATGAATATGGTAAGTAACAAGAATCTTACCTGATAAAAGCAAAACAAGTAACGAGAGTCTTACCCGGTAAATGAGAGCGATGACTCGTACCATGGTTAGTGCTTACCAGGTAAATTGTTGCATTTGATATCATTTTGATGGATTAAAATCTTACCTACTACGTAAGTGATAACGTTGAATTTTGCCAACAATCACTTACCTGGATAAGCGTTTGGTAAGACTCCAAAATGGTATCAAATGCAACAATTTACATTAATCTCTAGCATCAGGTATTTTAATTGAAAGATTTAAAGTTTATTTCAACCAGATGAAAAAAAAAATTACACAAAAGTTGTTTATCTATCAAGTTAAAAATGTCAAATATTACAATATTAAAAAAGAACGCACTTTTTGAAATAACTTTTTGGACTCAGTAGTTACTTGGATGATAACGCCCAAGTGACATTTGATTTAGCTATACCAACAGAGTTCTTGTAACTAAACGAAAATTGTTCGAATAATATTATATTACAAAATTTTCAAATGTATTAACACATAAAATAGTATAATGTATACATACATTCACATATAGGAAGACGAGTAACGTCGTCGTCGGAGGAAATATCAGATAAAAACCCAAACAAATATAACGGGTTTATCTAATTTGCAAAGGAGCAGCAGCGGCGGAGGAGAAATGGAGAGCGATAGCTAAAAGAGTTATGATGAATGGAATGAATTGCGCTTTATTGGAACTAGAGATGCACGACATCCAAGCTTCTGTTTTCAGCAAGCAAAAAAATCGCAGGCCAAGGCGTGGTTGAAAAAAGGCCCAATCGGGATCTTTTTACGGCGAACTTGTTTGGGCTTTTCCAAGTCGGGCTTTTTCAGTCCGGGCTTGCTCCCAAAATTTCAGCCGGCCTATACTTTGAGACATGGCCTGAACCGTGCTTCAGGCTCACTAGACATGGGCTTTTTCAACCCGTTGGTCTTGTGCTTTTTGATGAAAAAGTACAATTTTTTTTAAAAGTAGAATCAACATTTTGAGCAAAACGCAAGACTTTGTTTTGTGACGGTGGGATTTTAGCCAATTTCCAACGTTTAAGGGCTCAAACGAACGTTTTCAACTTAAAGCTTATATATGATTTTTTCAATTAACCTAGATATCCAACCCGCTATGCGAGCCGATTAATTCCAGGACGACCACCCGTGAAGCCCGGAGTCACCGCATTTGAACCCCCATGGCCACAAGGGAATTTTTATTCCTCTTTGAAATTGAACCCTCCAGACACTTTTGACATTTAAAGCCTAAACTCAAACCAATATCACACCATCTTTTGGTTAGGATTGGTTTAGGATTCTAGTCTTCTATTCTTTCTAAGATTTTTATTCTTTAAATAGGTTGATAATATTTGTTGCTAAGCAAACTTTGTTTGATTGATACAATCTTGAGTCCTTTTGAATTCTCTCCTACTCTTATTTCAGTATTGTTTTGAATCAACATATACGAGGTTATCGATTTATCTTCAACATTCCTCAGAATCAACGAAGGCCTAAATCAAACGTTATCCACCACTGACGCTCCAGCAAGAGTCACCACCTTACTTACCTTATCGGTTACACCTTCGTCCATCAAATTGGATTGTTGGTAAGTGGCTTTTACCAATAAGCACTTACCGCGTAAGAGTCTTCTAGCAAATATAATTAAGATGATTCCAACATTTTATTTGAACTCCCTTTCCTACTTAACATCGAATTTTGGTGATCTAAAAGGGTCCAAATATCAACAACACACGATAAAACAAATGCATAAAGAAAGAGAGTTTTTGAAGTTTGCTATCTCCAGATATCAAACAAATACAGAGCTGCTCCAAGCATCATTGAAGCAATCAATGATAAAAAAAAGAGTGGAACTTCATTGATGCAAGTCGATCTCTCTCGCGAGCAGTTCGCAACTAAAAAAACAAACGCCAAACTGTTGTCTTCATGTCACGGTTACAGTATTTTAACACTCGTTTTTTTAAACTTGTATTCAATTGTAAACAGCTACAAAAACAACAGCTACACACTTGGTTACTTACATCATTGTAGTAGAGGAAACTGAAAATAGAGGTCGGGGTTGCAGCCCTGGTAACCTTGATGTTTGCTACACCTTTATCCGGATCACAAATGAACCTGCTCAATCAATTTATGCAAAATATAATTTTTTTTAGAATGAGTTGAATCATAGTCAACTATTCGGGTGCGTTTTGTAGGTAAACGAGACTATACAGGAAGGGAATAGTATACATGACTAGACTGGACGGTAGAGATTGAGGCTGGCGGGTGAACGACTTATGTAAGATTTTAAGGTTTTAATTTGACATAGGTAGTTTAGTAATTTACCAATCTTGTTCAATCTTATTGATTTTTGTTCCACCTACTTTGGTGGGACAAAAAAAATGCATTCCTGTCCACTCAGCTCTTGGCCTCTCTCAGTCTAATATCGTGCCAAACATGGGATAACAAGTTTTTTACTGCCATGTCTCGTCCGGTCCCACATACCAACACACCCTTATCATTGTTTGTAAAATTGACGAATGACCGACAATATTTTGTCTTTTGGTAATTAGCCAAATATGTAGGCATGCTTGACTTGAAAATTTCTTCCATTTCATGTTTATTTGGTCAAAATCTCAAGTTAAGAGCACTTGAAAACTTACAAGCAGGAAGATTTGATATATCTGCAGAAACAGCACAAGGAATACCCAAGTTTGAAAGAGCTCCCCTTATAATTCCACAAGGGAAGTAGAGATGCATGCTAGTCGATTCTGCTGCTTTGTTTTCAGGGTCTTTAGCTGAACCTGAAATCTCTGTTGATGGATCAACCGACATGCGTGAAAGCCATGCAAATTTATCATCTTGCAAAACGAATGTACCCTGCAACAATATGCATAAGCCATTATGTGATTATGTCAACCTCTCACAATATCGTATGGTTATTGTGCGATATGGGGTGTAGAACTTACTCTATGATTAGTCTTTAAATTGTCTATTTGCTTCTTGAAGAGCTCAGACCAGAAATCTTTACAGATGAATTTGATTGCCTCCAGGTGATCATTAAACCGTGGCCGCTCCATGGTGTACCTAACCAAAATTTAAACTCAGTAATAGCTCAATCTTTAATGGTGATATGAGGGTTACCTGTAGAGCCCAGCCTCCCGAAAGGTCAAAAGAGTTCAAACCTCACCAAAGATGAGAAGGGTGTGTGAGCATTTGCCTCAGGAAAAAAAGATTGGGACAGTGGACACGCGAAAATGAAACTAATGTAGCAATACTTGGTCCATTTATGCATCCTAGATGATACAATGAGAATACACCACTCACTTTCTCTATGTTATCTACAAAAGTTTCAATCACTCGAGCAAGCCCAGCTGCGCGATTTATGAGTAGTCTTTTGCATATAAGTAATAATAAGAAGAATGTTGACGCACAAGGTTTTCACAGAATCCGCTCATTGGGGTAAAGGTCAGGTCTGGGTACATCTTAATCTAGCCCCCCTTAAACCCTGTCTCCAGGCGAGATACACTCGGTTTGTTTCGTTTGGGTTTTAATATTGATGCACAGGGATTACAAGGCTGCCAAAAATGCGTTGGTGATATGTATTTCTTGTCCCTTGCTAAAACTAAAAAAATGAATGGTATGGAGATTGATGCAAGAGAAAAAGGATTTGGATTATACAAGTTTTAAAAGACTAGTATAACTGAATAGCCACACTCATTAAAAAAAATGAACTGAATATTTATGTTGAGAGAACATGTTTAGGCACACAGGCAGGCAGATTTGAAGAATATTATTATACTACATATGACTCTTTAAGACATCTGTTATGAAATACTGAATCAAACTAACAACATTCACAAAATTTATCATAAACATCTTAATTTATTGGTATAATCCAACTATGATATAACTATATTAGCTTAAAGCCTCAAAACTTACATGGTCCATGGAGGAATAACTTCTAAAGATTACAACACCTTCAGGTATACAAAGTCAAAATATTACATAGAGAGCTGGCTTCTTATGCCACATGGGTTTATGCTAAACTTCTCTAGTCTGAGCTTGATCATCTCATCGATAAGTGTAAGCACCATAATTTAAATGCTAAACCTTCTCAAGTCTGAGGGTTATAATCTCACCCTTAGATTAAGTCCTCACTTAACTGTTTAATGTAATGTCCTAAAACTTTTAGTGTTCAATTTCCTAAAGCAACTATGTTAAGAAAGGCGGACCTAGTAAGGAAGGACCAAGGGGGGTCCCATGCCCCTGCTCACTTGATTATTATCGCAAGAGAAAATTTTACGCTTGATTATGGAGTCCCCTGAGATATTTCTATATCAAGTTTGTAACATAAATTTAGGCTGGCAGAAATGGTCTTAGCTGGCCGGACTAAAGCTCTCTTTGTAGGAGGTCTTGGTTTCGATTAGCAAATATTTATTTTTTTTGGTTCACAACTAGAGAGCCCATAACTCCTATTCTCACGTTATCTCTTTCAATCCTGAATCACATTTAATAGCACATTAAATACTTTATTAATTTCATCTCCATTTCCAAATTTGTTTCCACTTCCTCATGTGCGGTTGTAAGTTATCATGTTTTTGATAATTAACTTTCCTAACAAGCATGAGCTTTCTTCATGGTTTGTATTCTTATGTAATTTGCTTTCAGTTATTCGTTTGGTTATTGTTACTTGAAATCCTAAATGCATAAGGAGGGAAATAAGATGCAAAGTTAAATTTAATTTGCAAAACATTCTATTTAACACTAGGAGTTCTAGATACATAAGGAAATGAAATTGAAAACCTAGAGCAAAAAAACAAAGGACAATCAATATCAAAAACTAAAAACTGGAAAATCTTATGAAATCAACCAAAAAACCAAAAAAAAAATTCCCCGTAATGATGGAATTCAGCTAAAAACACGTACGGGGTAACACGTAGTATTGTGTTTTGCTCAAAAGGTCAAGGTTGATGCAATTTGAAATAAATGTATTATTCTTGAAATCAACATAATTGACTTTCCCTTAGGTCAAACCGCATCGACTTTTCTCTCCGATCAAATCTGCGACTTTCCAGGCCTTTGATCCACCTTAGAGGTGCACCCACTCAAGAAAATTCCTCGTTCCGCCACTGACAGTAAGTAAATCAAAAGCTACTAATAGCACCCATGGTGTTGCACAAATACAGAAAACTCGATTGAAAGAAGATACAAACAAAGTTGGATCATATCATACATGTCACACTCATCATGTACCTTAGAACAAAACACATTCAAGGTTAACACTAATAATATCTCATATTTTCTCCAAAAAATAATATGGCATCTGTTGAAAGTGAGAGAAACACCCATTAGCTTATATATATATATTCTCAATCATATTAGTAGTTGCAATGTCCTACTAATATGATCGTTAGAAAACAAGGAACCTAATACACTATGTGTCTTTATCAAAAAACAGACGTTCACCTGTTTTCATGGAACGGACTAAAAGAAGGCATGTCTCCAATTTTGGAGCCAATGGACTAACGGAGATCTAAATATTTCACAACACAAATCACATTTGACAAAACTCCCCAAGCAATCAGATTGGATAACTACAAGTCTACAATCTCTAGCACCATATGTACATTCAGCCAATTTTAAGGTTGCAAATGAAACAAGCCAAAATTTTTTCGATGTGGCAATGTATCTCTAGATCTGTAAGCCAACTTCTCTTGCATCCTGGATCACCTAGTAATGAAACTGAGAGACACTAATCATATACACGTACATTTACAACTGAAATGTTGACATTTGAAGATCCAGATGAACAAATATGATTCTAAGGCTACGAGCCCTAATTCTATTTAAGAAACTAGAATCAATTCATGAATATAACTGACACTTGAAATTAATAAGAAGAAAATCAATTAGTGTGTGTGATTTGATCTGTATACCTTTCGGAGAGTTGGTGGCCGACGTGGTAGCCGATGGCTTCGATCCTCCGAGCAGCAAGCTCCGGTTTAGTAGCGTAGAGTACATTGCAATACGAGGATACTATCTCAGTAAGCAAACTGTCCAAACAGCTCTCCGATACTTCTCTTGCCATTGCTGTAACTACGGTATCCGGCGGAGACGATCGATTTCTCGTTTCTCCGGCGATTTGATGATCTTCGGCTGCATTCGTTCATATTTGTGCTTAATAAGCGTAATGTTATTGAATTGTCATTCAATCAATCCAATGATTATTGGGCCGTCTATATAAAAGGCCCACTGGACTATATTTTGTTTTCATTGTATTTGCCCAAGGCCCATATTCGTATTACATTTTCAGTGATTTGGAGGGAAAAATAAAAAAAAGAAAACTAATTAATTAATATTTTAAAATGTTTTTTAATAAATAAAATTTTGAATTTACTAAAATCTTGAAAAATTCAATGAATGTTTACATTTTAAACACTTTGGTGTCGTTTATCAAATGCTTACTCGGGTAAGCGCTTACCAAGTCATTTTACTTTACCGGATGAATATGACAAAGACTAAAATCTTACCCGGTAAGAGCGAAGGCAAGAATCAAGAGTCTTACCCAGTAAGTGAGGACGAAGACTCTTACCATGGTTAACTCTTACAGTGATAAATTGTTGCATACGATGTGTTTTAGTGAATAAAAAATCTTATCCGATAAGTAAAAGATAATGTTAAATTTTACCGGTAAGTGTTTAGGTAAACGGCCCCTTAGGTTTCTCAATATTTTTTAAACAAATAAATATGTACGTTCATAAAACGAGAGTAATATACTATTTCTCAATTGATGTGTCCAGACCAGTAATAAAGTACAATGATATAATAAAAAATAAAAAATATCATTATGTTTATTTTTCAGATTCAAATGAAAATTATAAGGGAATTTAATAATTATTTATTTTTTAATTTCAAATTACAATCACAAGATTATAACAAAATACATGTGATTGTTATTTATATCTAAAAAATAAGCAAGGTTAATAAAAATGGTGCATTTTTTCGTTTTATTTTTCTACTAATTTTTTGATAAATGGAAAAAGAAAGTGTAAAAAATTTTCGTTTTTAGGGAATCGTTTACCTAAATATTTACTCGGTAAACGCTTACCGTTAAAAGTGAACACTATAATTTATTTTATCAAGTAAGATTGTGGTACATCAAAACGCATCTTATGCAACAATTTACCTGGTAAGCGCTTACCGGGGTAAGAGTTGTCACCCTCACTTACCGGGTAAGACTCTCCATTCTTATCATCGTTCTTACCATGTAAGATTCTTGCCCCTTGCTATGTTCATCCGGTAAGAAAAATTATCCAATAAGTACTTACCATGGTAAGCGTTTAGTAAACGACCCTAAGTGTAAGAATTTAGTCGATCAGAAAATTTTCAAGAATCTAACTGCTCGAAATATGAAAGTTTATTGGGTTTTTCTCGGCTCTATTAAGTTTAACTTATAAAGTTAAATGATTTATTTGTTTAAAAAGCAATTTAAAGATTAATTCACTCAAAATGTGATAAGTTCGTTGTTTTTTTTTTACAACTTTTCCCTTATTTATATGGATGAGAGAGATGATCAAATTTGGTTCATTCGGGACTAAGAGCAGCTATATATTTTATGGAATTTCAGTATCCAGTCTAGGATCGGGACCGATTATATATATGCCAGATTTTCAATTTCCTTTAAGTTTTTATAAATTATAATACAAGATTTTCAAGATTACAAGATTTTATCCACTTAAATGTATTATATAATGTGTATTTCAATACTAAATTAAAAAAAAAAAAAACCGTAACTATAAAAACATGTGTAATATTTTTGAAAGAATATTTCTTTTTAAAAACCGGGTTGCGTGCGGGACCATATTTGGAACCGGCCGATAGGTCTGAGATCGGTAGGTGAGCTTAAATTGGTCCAAGGATTTTTGGTCAGGACTGGACGGACGGTTTTGATGGAACAAATTTAAAACCGATTATTTTATACAAAAGAATCCAATAAGCTCGAATTAAGAATTTGGTGTATGTATTTGCAATTCTCTGTACTTCATTAATTACAGATGTGATTCTTATGGTTTTCAACCTGTTATTACCATGGTCTTTGTTTATAAGGGTTTGTTTGGTTTGCAAGATTGTTTTTAAGAGATTTTGATTGGAATGGGTTTGAAATCATTGGTGTGTGTTTGGTTTGTAAGATTTGGACTGCAATTGGATTATATTATTTATATATAATTTATAAAAAAAATTAAATTATATTTTTATTAATCGATTATTACAAAACAAATGTTTTTAACATTCTTTAAAACCTTATTTCATACAATCATACAAAATCCCGTGAAATCTCAAGCACTCCCTAAGGATTTCAAAATCCTATGTTTGTAGGATTTCAATTAAATTATAAAAATTTCAAATCTGGACAACCCAACAAACTAAACATGAGATTGGAATGAATTTGAAGTTTAACTAATACAGAAAAACATAATATAGAAAAACATTACGTAAAATTTAAATTGCATATACAGCGAAAAATCTTCGATTCCCCGATTGCGATCCCCGTTCCCCAATGAGGATGGGGATGGAACAGTAACCCAAACCCATTGTCATCTCTACTTAAAGTAATAATTGTTTGGTTTTAATACTGTACAATAATTAAAAACGTGGATATAGACATGTAGGAAGTGGGGTAGAGATGATCTTTAAGACATTTAAACAAATTTAACAGCATATAATACTGATTTATTATTATATAAAGAGACTGTCTAGTTAGTTATAGTCTATTTATGAATGAGCTGAAGGTAGAAAGAACTCACATACTCATGCTTTTCATCGAATATTTTTTTATTAACCTGGATATCCAACCCGCTATGCGAGCCGGCTAATTCCAGGACGACCACTTGCTTTGCAGATAGTCCAAAGTCACCGTATTTGAACCTCCGTAGCCACAATGAGATTTTTATTCCTCCTTGGATTTGAACTTGGGACCTCCTGGTACCTTTGACCTTTGGAGCCAAGCTCAAACCAATCAGACACCACCCTTGTTGACTGCGAGACATTCATGAATCATGCCGAAGTGTGTGCAATTACAACATTAGATAAAACAAATGAACAATTTTACTAAATTGATTCTTACATAATCATCTTCCTTATGTAATTTGTATATAAAAAAGAGCTTTGCTCATTGATCAATATGTATATATATATATATATATATATATATATATATATATATATAGAGGGAGAGGGGTAAGATCAAATGTTAAGCAAAGTTTTTGTGTTAACTTTGCAAACCATATCAACCAATCATAATTCATTCTTCTATTAGGTTTCTATCATGTTCACAATTTAATGCGAATGGTAATTCAATAATGATCTTCCTTATGCAATCTATGTATATAAAAACAGCTTTGCTCATTGATCAATGTGTATATATATATATATTAAAACAAATTTACAATTTATAATGACTATTGATTTTCACAAATATCTATGAATGAATATGAACGAGTGTAAGTACAAATTAATAACTTAAATAGGTCTATGAGCAAACCATCTTTTAACCATTGTAAAGCATTCTTCATGTTTGTATTCTGGAGTTGTATGACCCGCACCCTGCACAAATCAAAAACCGTTTGTATGCATTCATACGATCTATGTATTCACTCAAACGTAATGTTTTCATACCTTCACGGTTGCAAACAGTAAAGAATAGTTATCGCGTGCGTAGCTAGTTTTGTATCCTCCAACTTGATCCTTGACATACCATGTTTCCCAATTACTGTCGGTGTTTGTCAGATTCAGAGAACGTATCCAGTAATGCGTACCAATATATGGAACAACCATGTCATGATCCCCACTGTTCAACATAAAAGGATATATAGATGTAAAGTGAGTATACAAGATTACTTAAGAAAAAACAAAGAGTAAACAAGCGTCGAACACCTAAATATCAAAGCACGACAATCTCTTTTAGTTAGCTTTGCATGGTAGACGACACTATCGTTGACATTGAATTCGTATCCTGCCACAGCTTCATTATATCGATAGGTCATATTCGTGTTCCGTAAGGACCATTCCTTAATTGTGCCCTGATTATACCATCACATCAAGAACCCCAAATTAAGTTTAAGAATATAATTAGTTTATAAACACACATGCAATCATACTTGACTTAATCATTAAGCGTCGTTCATGGTGTGGGCATACCTCTCGTATATTGAGTGCTTTCATAACCTTTTTATTGTTGGCCCAAATTCCCGCATACGAATAATAGTAATCCTACAAGGAAAAAGATGGTTGATGAACTTGTATACAGATGGAGTACGAGAGAGCAAACGAGACAAACAATGACCAGTACCGGACAAAAAGTCATATTGCGTGAAGTTTTTGCTTTGAGCATTCTAATTGGTTCGTATCCAATAAGCTCCCTCTTTGTAGGTCTTATTGGATTCCCCGCTTTTATAATATCTGACACTTCTTCTTCACAATCAGGCACCAAAATGTGTTGCAAGTTGATATCCATAACACGCTATGATTAAAAGAAATCATTAGTTCGGCGGAAGTTCACATAATAAAACCTTCAAACTTAATACGGAAATATGAATTATGTTTACTCTGTTGACTTCTTCGATATTTTTCATGCACAATAAGTCGTTTGGATTCGCCTGTACATACTCATCATGGCAATTACTTTTTGTAGCCTAAAAAAATACACCACATAATTGGCTTGCAAAGTTAATCAAGTTAAAAAGTGGAAAAAAATACAGAAATATTGAAATGGAAAGAGACAGTTAAAATCACCTCATACAGTTCGTAAGATATAAGTCCTGTATGATAAGCATATTCAAGCCTAGAGTTAATATCAGACCTTACGTCCGTCAAAGGGTTCGCCAACACGTAACCCTAATAAGATGATACACATTATCAATTTATTATAAAAGAATTAAAATTTAAATTATAAATTAAACATCTATATCATATTATAAAGTATTTGACAAAAACTCTTAAAAACCATTTTTATGCACGAAATATTGTTTATTGATGCATATTACTTAAAATTTAAGATTACAAGTAAATTGTGCATAAGTACAACTTATTAAAGTTTCATATTAAAATTTTGTGACTAACTGCAGATAAACATAATCAAATATTGGATAAGCATCTCATATTAAATATAAAAAATCTAGAATATAATTAGAATAATCATAGAGTTATAACAGAATACTTGGTTATTATTTTTATAAAAAAATATATTATTAAACCTAAATTAAATTATAATTAAAAATTTTGAATTAAGAAAATTACACAAAACACAAGAACTTTTAAAAAGATTAATTTGATATTGATATTGATATATTTTTTTCAAAAATTTATGATATTTTTAAATTTATTTTTTATTCAAAAAATAAAAATATTATCGCTTTTTCAAAACCACATAAAACCGTATTATATCGACTTTTAAAAGAAATAAAATGAAACATTAAAATGAAGATATATCTCGATGCATTACACGAGTATCCTTCTAGTAATCTGCAAGTTATTCGATGATGACATACAAATTTACCTGAATATTTAGAGTCGGCTTTAATCCCATGTCATTTCCTTATAAAAAATTCACAAGAATATAACAAAACAAAACGACATATAAGATAATTTATTTACTCTAATTGGTTAAAACAGATGTAAAATGATATTTGAAAATAAAAAGAGAACATATATATACCTTTATATATCTCTTCGGTAATTATTGGAACGACTATGCCTGAATAAGAAATTCCAGTAACATACATTGGATTGTTTAAAAACTTCGGATGATCCCTCACAAACTGCATCACAAATTAAACAAACTATTCACTGTTAAATACCAATATCGTTATAAAAATTAAAAGGATAACAGAAAAGGAAGTCAAACATCTGATATTTTCTCTAACCTTTCTTAAGAATTCTGCAGTATTTGATGCTGATAACGTATCATTGGTGACGATATCAGGAATTGTTGTGTACGAGAATCCGGTCATTGTCGGTGAGTCTAGATATATGATATTTGCCACCTTTAAATTCACAGTAAGGATTATTTTTATAATTATTTATAATTAATAATATGTAAACAAATAAATAAATAAACATACACATACCTTAGTCCATGAGTTGGGGTCCAATTTTAAAAGTGGTACATCATCCACATATTTCCCATACTCAAATAGCAATGGACCTATTAACACATGAATTAATATTTAAACATCTTAATTTATTTGTTTTAAAATATTCTAAGATAAAATTAATATCTTTATAAAAATATTATTTTATTAGAAAATAATTATGGTTAGAATTAAAATAATAAATGTACCAGAATTTGCATTTTGACCTTTGGAACCCAAGCTCAAACCAATCAGGTACCACCATTGTGGTTCGTATTAGTTATTTTATGTAACACTATTTAAAAGAGTGTTTTATACACAAAATGTTCCTATATAAAGTTGTGTTTATAGGATTTTCACAAAAATGTTATGTAAAATAGTTGATAAACTTGGTACGGTACTAAGTTTTTTTTTTCCAATACTATGTATCAACCAATTATAATTAGCACGTAAAATTTTATATCGTGTACCAACCAACTGTACTTAGTACCAACTTAATTGGTATAGGGATTAGCATCTCATCCCCAGTTTCTTTTCTGGTCAAACCCCTCGTTTCCCTTTCCCCGACCCTGTTGTTCTGGTGAAGTGAAGATTGAACGTGATTACGTGAATAAGCGTTTGACTGGTCGTGGTCTTGTGGAATCTGGAGAGTCTCAATTCTCAAATCAATTGTTAAACTAAAAACCTAATTTTAAAAAAACAAATAATCTATATATTATATATTAATAAAACAAACTAATTAAATTATATATCGGGTAAGCGGCGGATCAGGGGATACGCTACCTGGTCCTGGCCCCAACCCTAGTTTGAGCCTATCGAGGATTCCCAGCCCAGGGACCCGGTTTAATGGGAAATCCCGTCCCCATTCGAATCTGATGAATCGGGTTACTCACTGAGTCAGGACAATTCACCATCCCTAATTATCTCTTCTAATTGTCTCAACCACCAAAAATAGAACCACTAATCCACCATCAAAAATCTAAAATCAAAATCTAAAATCTAATGAATGCTTTAAAACCATCAGTTTATTCTCAAGCTATCGTACCCACGCGAAGTGACTCCCATTTCCAGATTTAACCCCCTAAAGATTAGAGGTGATTATTTGAGAGCCTGAGCTAGGCCCAGGCCAGGCCTAACTTTTTTTTTTGTCCAACGAGCCTAACATTGTAAACCCAGACCCTTTTTTCGGGCTTAACAAATTGTCATTGTTTGCCCTATAAACGGGCCAGGCTTGCCTACGGGCTAACGGGTCTAAAAAGTGTAACTCCTATAAAATCTATAAACTTGATCACTGACAATTAATTAACAAATGTGAAACCAAAAAGTAAAGAAAAAATATCGTTGCAATTAGAATTTTAAGCAACTAAAGTGACACATTGATTTCAGCAAGTAGAGAAAGAAATAAAAAAACAAAATTCAGACTTCCATACAATCAATAATCCATCCCTATTTTTTATGTATAATATTAATATTCATATTAAGAGGTAAACAAACAACTCCTTAGCCTTTTGGGTTTTCAAGAATAACCAAAGAGTCTCATCCTATAACTTTAATAATTTAATTTTAAAATATACTAGTGTGATTTTAATTAATGGTAAAAAAAATATAATTACAAAATATAAACGGGCTGGACGAGGAGAGGAGGTTGGGGTTCGCCGGAAAAGGGGTTCCAAATAGTTCGAACAACATGTTTGGTTGTGGAACATCTAAGGTATGTGTATGCATATCATATATATACATGTAATTATATTATATAAGTAATGGTGGAGGTTCAAATGATAACACCTGTATTTTACGATCACACAAGAACACTTTTATCACATGTGATAATGCACTTAAGGAGATCTGATGATGTGTGGACGACGTGTTATACGACTTAGGTCGCACCAAAGATCGTTTGCGTCTACAATTTAGTATCAGATGTGATAGATTATAGTATTATATAAAGAACACCCTTATCACATGTGATAATACACGTGAGGGGGCTTGGTAGTGTAAGAACGAGTTGACTCGCAACCTAGTTTGCACCAAAAGTCGTCCATGTCTCTTATTTTATATCACACTTATATCATATGTGATGGAATATAGTATCACACGTAATTGTCTATAGTAAAAATGTGTTTTCGTCTCTCGTAATGTGAAGATGTTCTCGTTTGAACCCTTCTTTATAATAATATCTTATGATATAAACTATAATATAATATTTCTTAACTTTTTAAAAAGAAATTAAAAGAAAAATGGAAAAAGAGCAAAATGCCCTTCATTTAACAGGTGAAAGTTAAGGTCCGTTAAAGAAAAGGACTAGTTCTGGGCATTTTTACAAACCACGATGACTAAAACCCACATTTCCGAAGCGGTTCCAGTTCTAAAGATAATTACATGCCCACCCCTAATTAATATGTTTAACCAACCACCACAACCACCTTCCGCCACCTTAAAGACCATCATTGGGCAATGAGCATCACTAACACCACCAACCATTAAGGGGGTGTTTAAGATTGCTTATAAAAACAACTTATCATCTATTATGGTATGACATCGCTAATAAGCATTTTTGTGTGTTTGGACAAACAACTTATATCGGTGTCAAACCGATAATAATAAATTTTTGAAGAAGTTAAAACTTTCTGACTTATAATAAGCTGATAAGTACTTTTATAGAAAAACATAAGTTGTTTCAAGTAAACAATCTCAAACATCCCCTAACATTTTAAACAATAACTAAATAAAATGATGTATTTAAATATTGCAAATTCCCAAGAAGAAATTATTGTAAATCTAAATCTAAATCTAAATCTAAATCTAAATATCCTACAATTTATATATTTAATTAACTACAATTTCTTAACAAGATGATGTATTTAAATCCTTTTAGAAAAAGTCAAGAGAGTAGGTGAGGTTACTCTATGATTAAAATAATTACTTTTTAATTAAATTACATATTTGGTCTCTTTAGTACGTAGAGTTTTACAAAATTAGTCCCTTGATTTATTTATAGGTGGAACACCAGACTGGTGGTATGCAGCTTTTTACGGATTTGGTTCTTAGATGAAACCACCTGTCTATCAGTTCCGTTAAAACTTAAACGTAACCAATATCACAAAAAAACCAGATCTAAAACTAACCATGTATTTTGGGTTTGATATTGTGTGTTCCAATTTGTGGTTGCCGGTGGTATTGGTGCCAGAGAGAGAATGACGCCGAGAGGGGGAGGGGGTGGTTGGTGTTCTTGAGTTTTGGAAATTGACAAAACACACCCTTGTACAATTTGGTTATTTGTTTTGATAGAGAAAACAGGGGTTGGCAAAAATACCCTCGTGTGCTATGCACTGACACATGGATGGGGTCAACGTCTCTGATTCGACTGTCGTTTGATTGAGGAACCAAAACCGGTAAAATATGTATACCATCAGGTGTTTTATGTAATAAATAAAAGTATAAGGACTAATTTCATAAAAATCCACATGCCATATGAGCCAAACCTATAATTCTTAAATATGAAACAAGCATCACCATGGCCCTGTTTGTTTTTACCTAAAAAACACTTAATACCCTCTTATGTCTGAATCGGTCAGACTTTAGGGTATTAAGTGTGTTTGTTTTTTTTTTCAATTAAGAGCTTAAAAGCTCTGATTATGTCTGAATTATTTAGAGGTAACATTTTCACTTAAAACATCTTAATTGCTTTTAGAGCTTCCAATGCTTGCAAAGAAAGCCTAGATTTCAATGATTCAGATTTCAGATTTCAGACGTAAAAACAAACAGTCTGACTGATTCAGATTTCAGACTTCAGCACCACCTCTTAAAATTCAGAAGTGAATTCAGACTTCAGACTTAAGCACATCTTAAAAAACAAACGCCACCGATATATCTTGCACAAGAAAATTTGTTAATTGGAGCATTAAAAAAATCAAAAGCATTTATCTTATTTAAATACACACACTTACACACATACATACATACATATATATATATATACATACATATTTATATATATATATATATATATACTTACATATATAGACTTGGGATCATGTGAGATTAAGGGTTTTTCGTGAGACCCGTAAGACCAATTCTCAACCCTTAGATTAGATCTACAATCTGAACATTCATAATCACAAAATTGCCACTGAGACTTCTCAATAATTACAAAATTATCACCGTGCAACTTTAGACCATTAGATCATTAGGTTATAAAGTTGATCAATGAACATAAACTGGTCTTACGGATCTCATGAAAAACTTTTGGTCTTACGTGAACCCAACCCTATATATCTATATTATATTATAAATCATTTGACAAAAACTCTTAAAAACATTTTTTTATGCATAAAGTACTGTTTATTAATGCATATTACTTAAAATTTAAGATTACAAGTAAATTGTGTATAAGTACGACTTATTAAAACTCCATATTTAAATTTGTGTAACTAATTGCAGATAAACATAATCAAATATTGGATAAACATCTCATTTTAAATATAAAAAATCTAAAATATAATTATTATAATCATTAAGTTCTAACAGAATACTTAATTATTATATTTATAAAAATTATATTATTAAATTTATTTGTTACTAAACCTAAATCAAATTATAATTAAAAAATAAATTAAGAATTTCACAAAAACACAAGAACTTTTAAAAAGATTAATTTGATACCGATATCGATATATATATTTTTTTTCCAAAATTTTATGATATTTTCAAATTTATATTTTATTAAAAAATAAAAACATTATCGTTTCTCAAAACCACATAAAACCGTATTATATCGACATAAAAAATGAATAAAACGAAACACTGAAATCAAGATGTGTCTCGATGCATTGCACGAATATCCTTCTAGTATATATATATATAGAGAGAGAGAGAGGTTGGTTTTTATACAACCCATGTTATTTGTGCAATCAATACAACACAATATCAACCGTCCATTTCATTTTATTAATATATGATTTATAGAAGTTTTGATTGTTTCCTAATATAAAATATTGATCATAATTAATTAACCATATTCATTTTTCATAAATATTCAAATCACAATAAATAAACTCTCATCATTTTCATAAATATCTTAATTTATTGGATTGCATTGGTTGTACAAATGCAACAAGTTGTATTTGAAACAAACTTTCTCTCTCTATATATAAATTGAAACCAGATCACAGTCACCTGGATATCACAATTTGCAAACTTCCATGGTTTAAATAAAATAATAAACCCGATTTGTGAAGATATACAGAAATCCGGTGAAAATTATTTTCCATTATATATACTTATATCAATATATACACATCTATGTGTATGTATATGCACACATTTTTATCTCTCTCTCATATACACACACACACATATATATATATATATATACATATATATATATATATACACATATGTATAAATGGCCAAAAACCTTGGTTGCCGATGGTATCATTAGAATAATATATATTCTCACAAGAAAATAATTGGATATAACATATAGAAATTAAACAACCTTGGAAAATAAGTGAGAAAGACAGATATATATATATATATATATATATATATATACATACCGATTTCATAGAAGAAACTGCGGAGTGTAGAACAACCAGGTCCCCCATTCAGCCAAATAACCAGAGGGTCTTGTGCTGGATTCCCTTCTGACTCCACAAAGTAGTAAAATAGCTGCACAACTTCATCTTCTCCAACTCCAATGTATCTGTTTCAAACATGCACCTTCATATTTCAAGAAACCCAATACATATACATATATGTATATGTGTATATATATATATATATATATATATATAACACAGAAGAAATATACATAGAGAGACAGAGAGATACCCAGTTTCCAATTTGAAAGGAAGAATACCAGGATAGCCCGGTAAGTATTGTACGACGGTCTGAGAAGCAACCATAGCGAGGGTTGATAACAAAACCCCCAAATACATACATGAAACCATTCTGATTTCCATGCCCAAATGATGCTGTAAAAGGAATCCCTTTCCATTACTTTATATAGAAAGTCAGTCCCTTACCCCCTAACCCCTAAACTTATTGAAAACGTTTTGTATATTAAAATGAGTTGGTGGTCATTTTTTACTATTATAATTAATTATTTTCATACAAAATCTTTAAAACTATTTATCCAATACTAGAAGGGTACTCGTGCAATGCAGCGAGATATATTTTAATATTTCATTTTATTATTTATCTCAGTCGATGTTATAATATGTGTTAGGACTGAAAAATCAGTATTAATTGTATTCGTCTTGAAAGATTAATTTTAGTCTATCATTGTAAAGTCAGYGTGTTTGACTTTCTTAGACTAGTTTGACTTTGACTTTGTTAGTTAGGTTGACCATATAAATATGGTTTAATCTTTGTAATTAGAAAGGAAGTGAGCTAATTGTAATATTTAGATTCATAATTGAGGTTTGACTGAATTGAGAGGATTGACTTTCTCTCTCAATATTCATATGAGTTCATAGTGTTCTTAGATGATTATCTTGAATCTGCCATGATTGATTATGAAGATTATGAAGATTGATCAGTGATTGTGGACACACAATTGGTATCAGAGCTGGAATGCAAGAAATCGGATGAAGAATTTGAAAGATAAGTGATTTTAATTTCTGATTTTTTTCTTCGTGTTCTTGTGTGTTCTTGATATTTTTGTTGATTTTGATCCGATTTTATCATAAAATCTTGTGTTTTGATGTTAAAAACATGATCAATATGTTCGAAATTGAATTGTGAATCTTTGTTATTCACAAATTTTTGTGATTTGATCAAAATAAATCAAGATTTAATCGGTTTTTAGGTTTTAAATTTTTTTGTGTGTTCTTAAATTTTTTTTCGTAAATCAGTGTTTTGATCCATTTTTTTGTTAAATTTTTTTTTGTTTTTATGTTTTTGATAGAGTTTTGATCTGTTTTTTTTTTTTTTTAAAAAAAATTTTGTTTTGTTTTTGTTGATTTTTTGTTAAACCCAAAGCCCACCAAGTTTTTTTGTTTAATTTTTGTTCAAGTCCATTTATTTTTTTTTGACCCATCTTCATCTTCATCTTAGTCCGCCTACTTCATCTCCTACACCGCACACCATCTTCATCTTCATCTTACTGCTCTTACACCGCACACCATTCAAGCGGTGTTCTTATAAACCGCTCACTGCTTAATCGGATTCCTTGAACGGAGAAGTACACCGGACGATTGCAGGTAAGTCGATTTTTAGGTTTAATTTTTTGAGCGGTGTTCATCATAAACAGTGTCACTTGATCGGATTCAAGGTAAACCGGAGACTCCTTGTCCGGTGTTCATATAAACCGATCATCTCTTGATCGGATTGTTCTCCGGTAAGGTTTATTTGTTGAGCGGTACATCCTTTCACTGGACATATTTCAACCGGTGTTCATCTACACCGCACATCACTTGACCGGATTAGGATTCTGATTCATTCAGTAGGTAAGCTATCACAAGCGGTTTATGACTTAGAATTTGTGCTTCGAAGTTTTTGAGCGGATTTCTAATCCGCTTGATTTTTTTTTAAGATTTCAATTTCAAGTTAGGTGAGCGATTTAACTTCTGAGTTGAGCGATTTCAGACTTTGTTTCACTGTAAATAGCAAAAAGGAGCAGCAGCAACAATTTTTTTTGTTCTGTTTTGATTTGAAAAAGTAAGTTCTACAGCAGCTTCATTATGTGACTGTGTTTTCTGTTACACCGCACACAACACAGCACAAAACAGCACAAAAACTGTGTGCAGTTGCAAACTGTTTAGCTTCACAGAGAAGTAAGAACAGTTTCTGTTTTGGTAACAGCAACAGGGCACAGCAGCAGCAACATATTTGTGTTGTGTTTGATTTGTTGATTTCAGTTTCATAGAACAGCAAAACAGCACAGTCAACAGGTCGTTGAAACAGCAACTATTTTGACAGCTTCATTTTATGTGTTTAGACAGTGACAAAAACAGGTTGAAGATAAACAGCAGCTATTGTTTAACAGCAACAGATTTTACACTATCTGTTTTGGTTTAAGCACTAGCTGTTCAAACAGAAGAAGAATTCACAGCAGGTTGTGTTTGGGTATATTGTGACAGTTAAAAGCTGTTTTGACTTGATTTCGTGATTTGAAACAGCAACAGCAACTGCTGTGATGTGATTTGTGATTCGTGCAGTAAACGAGCTGTTTGGTACAGCAATAACAGCATCAAGTGTCAGGTAAAACAGGTAACAGCAGTTTGTGTTTGGACAGCAATTGTTATATGTGTTGTGTTGGTGTTTAAAACAGCAGTTGGTACAGGTTTGAAACAATTACAGGTATTGCAATTTGAAGCTATTGTGTACACTTAAATCTGTTTTTGCGCTGTTATTGTGTACTCTACTAACTGTTTTAACAGCAACGAGAACAGCAACAGACCTCTGTTTACAAATTTTTGACAACAACTTCATTTGACAGCAAGAAGAAGACAGCAGCAAATTTTTGACAGCAACTTCATTTGACAGCAAGAAGAAGACAGCAGCAAATTTTTGACAGCAACTATATTTTTGACAGCAACTATATTTTGACAGCTTCATTTCATTTTGACAGCAACTATGTTTTGACAGCAAAGAACAGCAGCAACAAATCTCAAACAGCAACTCAAACAGTAGCTAACAGCAGCTGCTACACAGACATCAACCAGACAGCAGTGATGTTTAGGTAATTGTGTTTATGCAGATTTGAAACTGCAAGCATTGCAAAGTCTTTGAACAGCAGTTTCACTTTGTGGTAAACAACAAGTTTTGAGTCTGGAACAGAAGCTATATTGACCGAGTTAGTGTGTTAAACAAGTTGCTGTGTATTTGTGGTTTTGAGGACTGTTTCTTATTTGTAACAGCAGCAAATATCTTGACTGCACTTAACAGCTTCTTTGTAGCTACACAACTGTTCGAGACAAAGAAGGAAATTGTTTAGAGACTGATTCGTGAGCCTCTGTTGTTTGAAGAAGTAGTAACAGGTTCATAACAGCAGATTCTGTTTTCAAGTGCTCTAGCTCCATTGAGAATCTTAATTGACTGTAACAGCAAAAAGAAGCAATAGCTGTGTTGAAACAAATTAGTTGTTCATCAAGAATTGAAACAGAAGCTGAATTTGACTTGGTTGGTTTAGCAACACACAGTAGTTTTAACTGGTTCCAGTTACACATATTAGTAACAGATTTTTTGAAACAGATTTGACGTAGTGTGTTTTTGGTTGATAAACAACAGCAATAACAGGTTTACGCAGATTTGATCGGACTGTTTTGTTCCTGCTGTTTCCTTAAGGACTGGAACAGATTTGGCCATATTGATTGGTCCATCACAGATTTAAGCTAAGCTTGTACAGTCATTGAAACGTCCTGGTTTTGGAAGTGTGCAGCAGATTGAAGTGTTTTATACTACTTGTAGCTGGTTGCTATTTTTGAATAGTTGTTGCATCATACAGTATCAAGGACAACTCAAGATAGATTGGAATTGATAATTGTTCACTGTTTACGGCATAGATTGTATTGGTTGATTTGGGCTTGTATCTAGAATTTTTTGGACTTGGATTTCTTTTGGACTGTTTTTAGTTTATTAGTTTGTCTGTGTTTAGATTTTTTTTGGATCATTGTATATTTGTTTTT